TAATCACGCACAGCTTTGTGCGTGCATGCAGCTGACACACAGCTTTGTGTTTTTGCAAATTGATCAAAATGTACATAACTAACATCTGCAAATTTTTTCTCTTCTTAATTATATATATATCACAAGTTTAATTGTCCTATCATGGAACGAAGTAGATTTATAGACTTTCGTCATTGATTATGTAAATTACATCGTCATTCGCATAATTGTCATCTAATATGTCAGGTATCACTTAAGTCACCTACATACCAAAAATGACGACAATCGCCAACCGGTTCTTGAGTTATCCTTTTAAACATTTTGAAAGAAACGTCACTGCAGTTCCCAAGCAAGCTGCTACGGGACCCAAACTTACGTCACTTAATTGCGAGCACAATAGCTATCTACCACTCAAATATCATGACCCTAGCATATCTAGATCAGGAGATATACTAACTAGAAGCTACGCTGCAGTACCATAACAAGCCGCCAGGGGGCCCACAATCTAACCATTTCGAGATCCCATCAAGACATACACACATACCAAATATCAACCCATCAAAGCCTTCTTGAGTTATCGTGTTCTCAAATACACACACACAGTCACACGCGCGCGCGCACACACACACACACACACACACACACAGTGACACACACACACGAACGCCACTGAAAACATAATTGTCAGTTGTGTCAATTGTGAGTTGAGAGAATTTACACCTCAACGAAATATTAGATCTTTGTGAATTTTGTTGTTATGGAAACAGGGTATTGATTAGCATACTGTTTTAACCGATGGAATTTGCTATTCAAATTACATGCATTGTACCAATGAAAGTCCATTTTAACAGTTGAAGAACTTTCTTACAATATTTTGACCGGCAGCAAGCATCAATTTTACCTGGAGAGTCTCCTGCCACTGTTCTCACATTGCTAGCCCCCATTCAAGCACTGATGATGTAGATAAACACTAGAGAGGCCGACATTTGCTTGGGAGCAAATACAGCATATTTCAGTCCATCTCCCTCCCACGCAAAAGTGGACTATTCCAAACTTACCCCAGTGTAAAACTGGCAAAGATTCTCAAATAAATGAATTATATAGTAGTTATGTAATTGAGAACAAAGGTGTAAGAACAAGCACATTGAATCTCGAAAGCTTTACTAATCTTATTACAGGTATGCAAATACTAACAATGATGAGATTTGATACATTTTGAAGGTCTTAGGCACATAAAATTGAATGTGTCGGTCATTGCACACGACTCACGTGCAATGTGACCCCAGGTAACCCGCAATGGAACACGTGTTCCATGGCCAACGGCAGATGGAACGGGGCATTCTTTAGATAGAACATGGAACGGGTATAGCACTTTTGGCCCTTTTTTTGCTGAAAATAGCCATTAAAGTCCCCCAAATGAGTCATTTGGAAGTGGTGTATGCCAAATATGTGACTGCTATTCTGTAGACACATGTTCAAGGTCCCTATACCGAATTTCAGATCATTTGGTTGTAAAACCAGGGCTCAGGATCCAAAATTCCATTTTTTGGCAAAAAATGCCCCAAAAAACCTTCATAAAAATTTTTCAAAGGCATGTATCAAAAAAATGAAAAAAACGCCTGGGGGTATTGGCCCACTCTACCTCCATGCCAAATTTCAAGACATTTGGCTGAATGATGGCGGAGTTGAATCCCTTTGACTGTTTGGCAGGAGAAGGAGGAGAAGAAACATGAGGGAACACAATATATTTCATCCATACCATGGTATGGACTGAAATATAATTATATTTAGCCTTGTATCTTTAGGTTTGCAACTGTTTTACTGTGTATTAACCTTCTTAGCCTGCCACTGCATATAGAAGTTTTAGTATACATTAAAAAGAAGGGACCAAACAAAACATGAACAATGCTAGTATCATCTGTGTTTATAAAAAAAAGAACACACAAAAAAAATTTGTCGGCATTTAATTTAGCTTCAAAGGACGCCGCTAGTGACTTCCGGCCCTCTCACTCGTCATACCGGGGTATCATGTCACGAACACTACAGTTGGAACTTCCACATCTTATACGGCACATAAAGAAAATTTACCAACAGTATGCGAGCAATAAATTTCATTTATTTTGCATATTTGTTTACCTTGAATATCGTGCATGATATAAGGAAAAATACTGCTTAGAAAAAAAACAACGTAAATTTTTGCTTCTTGGCGCTCCCCTCCCCCTCCTCTAGGGGCGCGTCGTCAACATCGGCCGCGGCCGCGGGATCCTCGGAGACTCTGGACCCGGTGGCATCTCCCGATCCACCGCCCCCGGCTGCACCAGCCTCTGGTCCACCGCCACCGGCTGCACCAGCCTCTGATGCCGGCTGGGCCCGTGAAAAGAACTTGAAATTCGACCCCTTCTTCATGGGCCCTTCTTCATGCTTTACAAATTTCCTGGGTAGCACTGAATGCTGGGAAATCCGAAAACTCTGTTTTTCACCGAATTTCACTGAAAATTGGACGAAAAAGCCGAAATTACTCTGCCGAAGGACTTCGTCCCACATCGGGCAACAAGTTTCGCGGGTCTCACCATATTTGGTAAATCAGCTACGTAGGCCTTCGCGTCTTGCCATATTTGGTAAATCATTACGTAGTGCCTTCGCGTCTTCACCTGGGGACGAGAGCAGCTTGTTCCCAGGATGTACAGTAAGGAAAACAATATGGCTGCCATGCGCCCAGCGCGATGCCGACACAGCAAGAAACTTCGGAGATACGCAGTGCAAACATGATATATCGGTATTTTCCAGGTGCAAAATTGCACATTCAAAATATTTTTAGGTGCAAATCTTGAAAATTACGTGCAATTTGCACATTGCACCTTTGTATTTCGAACTCTGGAACGGGTATAGCACTTTTAGCCCTTTTTTTGCTGAAAATAGCCATTAAAGTCCCCCAAATGAGTCATTTGGAAGTGGTGTATGCCAAATATGTGACTGCTATTCTGTAGACACATGTTCAAGGTACCCTTATACCGAATTTCAGATCATTTGGTTGTAAAACCAGGGCTCAGGATCCAAAAATCCATTTTTTGGCGAAAAATGCCCCAAAAAACCTTCATTAAAATTTTTCAAAGGCATGTATCAAAAAAATGAAAAACAAGCCTGGGGGTATTGGCCCACTCTACCTCTATGCCTAATTTCAGGTCATTTGGCTAAAAAATGACAGAGTTGAATCCCTTTGACTGTGTGGCAGGAGAAGGAGGAGAAGGAGGAGGAGAAGAAACATGAGAGAACACAATATATTTAATCCATACCATGGTATGGACTGAAATATAAATATTTTACGGCTATTGGGTACTTACAATTTAAGTCGAAAAAGGAACAAGAAGCCATAGGCGACAATTCTCCGTGAAGTATTATATATTGCAACAAAAAGAAGTAGCCATTGGCGACAATTTTCTGTGAAGTGTGATAAATCGAACAAAGAAAAATTGTTTAAACGCGCGTCGGCTCAGTCATCTTAAGACGCAACAACCAATCAGAGATGCGAAATGCCGACACGTGACGGGGAAGGGCGCGCGATGCCCGAAATATTTTTGCGTCAATATTCAGCGCCGTGTTTCAAGAGATTAATACCGGGAAACAAATTCTTTTCTTGTTTTGAACGCATAAACATGCATTTACGCTAATCTAGCATGATTCAGGGTTACTTTTTTTTTACCTGCCATGGCCAGATTATCTAAAGATGTGTGTATTGTGTGTACAATCTACAGAAAGAGAAATGTACATCAGGTCCGATCATCCGATTTTCACGTTTCGGTTTTTTGGACTCGGTTCATGAACGTATTTTGGTTTGGCTCCTGGAATGTGCGAAAAAAAATGACTCCCGGGATTGTCTACAGGGAACACTCGCACATTCGCGGTGTATCAGGACAGCGCGACTGGTCGGCATTAGCGCAGTCCCTGCAATTAGTAACAGTTGCACATCAATCCGGCCGAAAGCATGATTGTGTAACACAGGCTACTTCTTCATATACCGGCTCATACTATACGACGCCTTTACAACTAGCAAATCATAAAATTACCCGATCTACTAGTACTGTATGTGCGGTTTACCAGCCCCAGACCACATCCGACCACGAGGCAGAACACATTGATGGGTTGCTCAAAAATATTGTCCATGTTTACAAAGAGCTGCTCCACTAACACTATGGAGCGGCCCAACCCAAAAATATTGGCCATGTGTCGTTGCTAGGACGACCGACCAGTTGCTACGTGACTAATATACACGCCGCCACTAGGTCGCCACACCCGACCAGTTTGAAATCGATAGGATTACGTCATCGGTATTAACATTAAATTTTTCCTTAATGTTGACCTCTGACCACCCCACATATGATCCGTCGTCCCCATCAGCCCCGCCCCGACTTACTACCGGTGACATAAACGGACGACAACATTTCAACGGCATGGGGATGTTTCGAAAATAACCATTTACTCCGATATCAAAACAGCTACGGTAAAATAAAAAGACGTGCATCATCCCGGACATAATGCAACACCACATGCGAAATTACACAGAAATGCGACGTACGGAAGAATGCGTTTTGGCTGCGAACATCTTCCAAAAAACTTGGCATCTCTTAACCATGGGCAAAAACATCTGGAACCACTTATAAAAACCACCCCGTATCTGCATGAACTTTTACCCCCCCC